AACACCTCTGCTCCTCTCAACTGATCTAATAGATCATCGATTCTTGGCAAAGGATATTTGTTCTTTATTGTAACCTTGTTCAACTGTCGATAATCCACGCACAACCTTGAACTTCCATCCTTCTTCTTCACCAGCAATACAGGAGCTCCCCATGGAGACACACTTGGACGGATAAACTTCTTCTCCAACAGATCTTCGATTTGCTTTTTCAACTCTGCTAGTTCGGCAGGAGCCATTCTGTATGGAGCCATAGAAACCGGGCCAGCTCCGGGCACTAGATCTATTGTGAAATCGATCTCTCGACTAGGTGGTAAACCTGGCACTTCTTCTGGAAAAACATCAACATATTCTTCTACCACAGGTATTCCGATGATTTGTTCTTCAGTATTCTCTCTTTTCTCCTGAGCTAACACCACATAGCAGGTAGCTCCATCTTTGATATCCTTCGCAGCGACTCGAGTTGAGCTTAGTTCTAAATTGTTCAAATTTAGAAACTCTATCTTTTGTTTCCCACAATCAATAAGAACGTGATTGGCAGTCAACCAATCCATTCCTAAAATAATGTCTAGATTTTGAAGGGGTAAGCAGATCAAGTTCACTTTGAACTTGCGTCCTGCAATTTGGATCGGGCATCCGACACAGACTGAACTGGTCGTAACTGGTCCCGATGCTGGTGTAGAAACTACTAATTCACACCCTAGATCAAGCATCGGTAATCCGAGTCTTTCTAAACATGCTAGGGATATAAAGGAGTGTGTGGCTCCAGAGTCAAACAAAACATATACGCATTCTCCTAACAGCATACAGGTGTGTAAGATTAATGTACCTGGCTTAGTAGCCTCTTCTGCAGACATTGCGAATACTCTTCCTGTTGCCCGGGGCTTTACTTCAGCAGAATCTTGTTGTTGTGGTTCTCCCACCTTCTTTTTCTTTGGACAGACATTAGCAAAGTGTCCCGGATCATTGCAGATGAAACATCTCTTCCCTTCAACTCTTTCCCCAGTAAGTTTAGGGCAGTCACGTCTGAAATGTGCCCCTCCACACTCAAAACACTTCACTGTTCCTCGATATGATAATTGTGGTTTTTCATAAGGTTTCTTGTTGAATTTCATTGAAGATTCTCCCTTTGCAAGTCTGGAAACTCTACTTGGATCAAACTCCAACAATTCTATCATTCTGGCTTTCTCTACCAATGCTGGAAACTCTTGTATTTCCAATGGCATAAGTACCTTCTTCAGTTCATGCCTTAGTCCTCCCTCGAATTTTCGACATCTCCATTCTTCTGTGATATTCTGAGTATAAAACCTCGAGAGATAATTAAATTTTACTACGTACTCTTGTACTGATAACCTTCTTTGTTGTAAGGTCAGAAACTCCGCCTCCCTTGCAAATTTTGCACTGTTTGGAAAATATTTTTCCAAGAACCTTATCTTAAAGTTCTCCCAATTCACAGTCTCACCACGAACCGTCATCAACTGTTGCATACTTTCCCACCAATATTCAGCCTCACCCACCAAAAGAAATGATGCATAAGTTAATTTTTGTTCTTCTGAGCAAGTTATTACCCGAAAAATCTTCTCGTTCTGCCTTAGCCAAGAGTCAGCCTCATCAGGAGTAGCCTCCCCATTAAATTTAGTTGGATCATGCCTTAAGAAGTCATTCAAGCTAGAATGATTTTGAGGTACTTGATCAACTTGTTGTTGCTGCATCTTTGTCGAGTTTAAATGATTTCTTCAAAAAGATAACAATACAATTTAGCATATGATATCAATTTCCTCCAAATAGTCATTTTCATCATAACCATTAATAGTTTTACTAAGAATAATAATTTCACTCCCCATAGTCCCAAAATACTTTCGAAAACCATTGCTCTGATACCATAATGTAACACCCGAATATTTTAAAGGGTATTACTGATAGTAGAGACTAAATTAATTTGATATCTCATATAAACAATCAAACTTTATTTCAATTACTCCAAAGTACAATACCAAACTTACAAACTTTAAACAATATAGTCTTCACCATTGAAATTTCAACTTATAAATTTTACACAACATAATCTTCCCAATACAAATTTATTCTTTTTACAAAAATCCCTGAAAGTTTTTCCCCGCATCTCTCTCATCTCTAAGCTTTTTCAACCGCATCTGCAACATTATCTAATCACATATAACATGAGTTATATGATCATAGTACAAACAAATAAGGGTAAGCCAACCATATCATAAAATCATTAAACTTGTAACAAAAATATTAAAATCAGGTATTTCTGCAATTGATAAAATATCATTATTCCGATGTCATTAATTCATCATTATCAAAATCATCTTTCTCATTTCCATAAATCTTACAAGTGTACCATGCTTACTCATGAAGCCTTATGGTCAGACCGCTCTCTGCCTGCTTCCTTAAGCCTCACTTACATACTATGTCTTACTTTCTGAAGCCTTATGGTCAGACCCCTCTCTGCCTGCTTCCATAAATCTCAGGTGTTACTTTGCTCATACCAAACTCTCATGGTATAACTCGAACATACTACTCCCGGTAGTAAACATCATTTCATAAGTAATGATTTCTCATATCCACTCCAACATTTCATAAAAACCAACAATTCATACCCTCTTATCCACCTAACTCAATCATGTTCATTCTTTAATCATGAATTCATAATAACCCGTTTTGGTATCGATAAATTAAACACATTGCCAGATATCATGCTTCATATTATAAACTCATTTTGCCCATAACGAGTATAACTCAACATATTTTCACCAAACAAAGATCATGGATCAACCAAAATACATCAACATATCTTAGGAACTACATATTAAAGTCTGGGCTCAATGTAATGATAAATAAAATATATATGAAATTTTTACCATGATAATATTATGCATCTACAATCAACTTGTTTTATTTTATTTTCATCCTAGTAGAGATTTTTCTTTACCCCAATTGGTCACCGGAGAGGACCCAGATGTCTGAACGCATCAAACTCACCTTCGACGCCAGCACATATGACTAGTCACAACTGACTGGACCAGGCCAGGGCTGCTCTATGATCAGGGATGTGCCAACTCAGGTTTTTAAGGTTCCTCTATCCTACCAACAAAGGGAGGCCTTCAATAATTAACAATTTATTTATTTAATTTATCTACCTTGTTTTCTTATGCTCTAAATCTTAAAATGCCTAATTTTACTTCCTCTCACAACAACCTCAAACACTGTATATATATTTAATACCCATATACAAGCTATTACAGAACCCTTATTCCAAACCTTCCAACAAGATTAATTTCAGCCAACAAACTCATTCAATAAAATCATCACAATAAACATCCATAATAGAATTCATACAAGATAATTATAAACAATTAACAATAATAAAACATTACTATAAATGGTCATAGAAGAATACAATATTTGACAATCATAAAAATAATCTTAATATAAAAATTCATGGGGAAACAAGAAGTTGAATCTGGCAGAGCCGGTTAGACAACTTCTAATCCATCCATCAATACAATATAATTAAATAACAAGAACAATACATGTCTGGGGAAATAAGAAGTTGAATCTGGCAGAGCCGGTTAGACAACTTCTAATCCTTCCAAAAATGCAATAAAATAAATAAGTAAAGAAATAAATAGTTTGGGGAAACAAGAAGTTGAATCTGGCAGAGCCGGTTAGACAACTTCTAATCCTTCCAAAAATGTAATAAAATAAATACGGAAGGAAATAAAAAAAAGTTTGGGGAATCAAGAAATTGAATCTGGCAGAGCCGGTTAGACAATTTCTAATCCTTCCAAAATACAATAAAAATAAATAAGGAAAACAATAAAATGTTTGGGGAAACAAGAAATTGAATCTGGCAGAGCCGGTTAGACAATTTCTAATCCTTCCAAAATAAAAAAATAAACCACTAATAACATACAATTGACATAACATAATCAATATCACATTTTACAATTATCACACTTGGATATTAACACACAAAAAAAACATATTCTCATTTAAAATTCAAAATCATACAGAAACAAAATACTCCATATTTAAGATTTAAAATCAGACAAAAGAAAAATATAGCATATTCAAGACTCAAGATAATACAAAAAGAAATACTCAAAGTTAGCTTCCCTTACCTCTATTCCAGACTTAGTTTCCTCTTCTCAAACCGTTCTCCGGAAACTTCCAGAATTTCCCCTCTTTAACTAGAATTTCCTCTAACTCTCTTCTCTCACAATTTCTCTAGAATTTTGGTGTAAATCTTCAGCCTCCCCCCCTTGGCTATTTATAGCCAAAAATTTTACTATTCATTTTTACTATTCATTTTTACTATTCACTTTTACTATTCATTTTTACTATTCAAAAATTATTTTTTATTCACCATTCTTATCTCTGAATGATTAATTCTACGTGGAGTGTTCTCTTCCATAATTTATTTTAATATTTTTTTTTTAACTATTCACTATTCACTATTCACTATTTACTATTTACTATTCACTATTCACTATTCACATTTCTAAAAAAATCCTAAATAAGTTATCAAAAATTTGAAGCTCTCCCTCTAAAATTACTATAACTTTATATCCAAAAATTTACATTTTTCTATCCATTAAAATTATTATTACTAATAAAATGTTAAAATTTACTATTATAAATATTTTTTTTTTCATGGATCTTACATTTTAACATACAAATATTTTCAAGGATCTTACAGGCTTCATGATGGGTATTTTGTGTCTCTGGCTTCTTGGTTTGATTCCTGCTGGTTTTTGGAGGTTGACGCGTTGGCTTGCACGAGGTGGTCTGGTGAAGATGAAACCACCATCTAGTGGCTCTGGTTTTCTCTCTCGACGATGACGGTGCGATTTGAAGGAGATGTCGGTGGCGCTTCCACTTCACTAGGTAATGGCGGCAGCTCAAAATTCACAGCACCACCATGACTACTACACTGCTGAATTCCACCTTTTTGAATAGTCTGCATAAAGTTGAAGTCACCCTTGGCCACCATTATTAGCCTCAGTAGAATGTGTGGATGGTTGTTCTGGAAGATTCAAACACCCAGTAAGAGCAATTTCTTCAGGCAAAGTACCTGGATCAGAAACATCTGTTTTTGATAGCCTTGAATTATTCTCCAGAGAAGGATCAAAAGCTGTTCGAACTTGATCTGGATTACTGCTCTCAATCCCAGATTCAAAATTGGGGTTTTGGTTGAGGAAATTTGCATAAACTAGTGGAAGATCAATATTTGGTTCATCACTCATCCCTGATGAGGAGCTAGAAGCTGCAGAAGTCCTTATTCTGGGATCATAAGAATGCCCAACAGGGTTATTATTATGATTTGTAGCATTCCCACAAGGTGATGATGATGAAGTTTTGAAAGTGAAACCTCAAAATTATTCTGTTCAACCTCAAAATTCTTCATTGGAGCCCCTTTGATTTGGGTTTCGCCTTCTTGGACCTCATTGCGGTGTTCCTTCTCAACCCTAATTTTAGTGTTCCTTTTGAAGTGTAAACATTAAAGAAATTAGGGACTTGTGTGCAAATTTGGAATAAAAAGAAAAGAAAATGTGGCAGAGAATAAACTCATACATGGCATCAGATGTGGGTTGGCCGTTAGCCACGTCAAACAAAAGTTAACGCCATCCAAAATTAAGAACTATTTATAATAGTTTCAAAATTATGAGGACTAAAAACCATCAAAGTTTCGAATAGGGACTAAATCCAAAATCGTGTGATACTTAAGGGACTAAAAACATATTTAACTATATTATTATGCTTGTTTATTTAACATTTACATTGTTAAATTATAGCATTAAGCTGAAATACAGACACCACGTCTAAATTACTTAATGATTATTATAATAAATATATTTCATCTTAATACATACACCTTTTTCTGATACTTTTACGGTTAATTTTCATTAACCAGTAAAAATTAAATAAGTGACTTACTTTTGTATTCTATTCAATTTACTTTCTTATTTTTTCCTCTTTTTATTTATATATATATATATATATATATATATTTTCTTTTTTTTTATTGCGTAACACATTATTTTAATAGCAACTTAATTTGTAGTTTACAAGTTAGAAGACGTTCGGAAAATTATTTTAGCTGGTTTAATGAAAAATAAGTTGTTTACATTAAATTATAGGCACCGTTGATTTTCCCTTTTTCCTTTTAATGTGTATAAAGATCAATGGTTTAAAATTGACGATGCGAAGTTGAATCAAAACCATCGACTACCACTGCCTGACGCGGTGCTCCACTTGTTGGTTTTCGCTGCCATTCGTTTGGTGCCAAAGTTTTGATTTTTCAGAGGTATCATTCAAGATTCACTCCCTTTTCTTCAAATTCAGCCACTTTTTCCAAAAGGGTGTTTCCCATCCCGTGTTTTTCATGTCTGTTTATTGATTTCTAATATTCCAGTATTTTATCTACGCTCAGTGATAATTTTATTTTTGTAGGGCATTTGGGTAATAGTTTTGATTTTTAATTTTTGCTCATTGAATTAGACTTGTATTACCTGAAATAAGTCACTCAATAGATTGAATTGGAGATATGAACACTGCTGATTGGGATCAAGAACTGAGAAAGTATCAAGATGTAATAGCTTCAGGTACCAAGAGTATGAAAATAAAGGCCATGATGATGCTGGCACGTTTTTCTAAGGATGCCCCTGAGTATGTTTTAGCTCGCACCATACCCATTCTCACTGAGATTCTTGGTCACAATGTTTCAAATGATTCTGGTCCTACACTTCAAGAGGCTGCTGCTTATTGCTTGAAGTGCATTGCTTGCAGGGGTGAGGGTGCGTTGGCCGTTGAAATTGGTGGACACGGTGCCCCTCATTCTTTGATGAGGTTGTTGCCTCACTCTGATGAAAGGATGCAGAAGGTTCTGATAAAGTGTTTGCTCGTCATTGTTTGTTTTTGTAATGCAACTAGGACAGTTGTTGCCACCAATGGTGGGGTGGAATTGATCATTGGTTTGTTGAGTTCTTGCACCAATGATACTAAGAGGTATTTGTTGGAGATTTTGAGCGTGTTAGCATTGAGGAGGGATGTTAGGAAGGCTCTCACTAGACTAAGAGCTCTACATTATGTTGTGGAGGCTGCTAGTTTTGGGAGCATGGTGTCTAGGGAAAGGGCTTGTCAAGCAATTGGGTTGCTTGGAGTCACCAGACAGACTCGGCGTATGCTTGTTGAATTGGGAGCAATTCCAGTGCTTGTGTCCTTGTTTCGTGAAGGAGAACACTCCACAAAGCTTGTTGCTGGCAATTCTCTTGGTGTGATATCTGCTCATGTTGATTACATAAGGCCGGTTGCTCAAGCTGGGGCTATTCCCCTTTATGCTGAGCTTCTTGAAGGACCTGATCCCTCTGGGAAAGAGATAGCTGAGGATGTTTTTTGTATATTGGCTGTTGCTGAGGCTAATGCTGTTGAAATTGCTGGGCACTTGGTGAGGATTCTGAGAGAAGGTAATGATGAGGCGAAGGCTTCTGCGGCGGATGTGATGTGGGATCTGTCGGGTTACAAGCATTCAATGTCTGTAGTACGGGATTCAGGTGCGATTCCTCTTCTTGTTGAGCTTTTGGAGACTGGGAGTGAAGATGTGAAGGTGAATGTTTCTGGGGCATTTGCTCAACTGAGCTATGATGGAACTGATAGAATGTCACTTGCTGAAGCAGGGGCGATTCCAATTCTCATAGACTTGATGAATGATGTTGATGAGGTTGAGGAACTAAGGGATAATGCTACGGAGGCTCTTGTAAATTTTTATGAAGATCCATTGTATCATGATAGAGTGTCGGATGCAATTAATGTTTCTTCCTTCAGAAATATGCAGAATAGGTTAGTTCATATTCGGGCATCGAATGAGCACATGGCTAGATCCTTGAGAAGAATGAGTGTTGAGCAGCTCACATGGAACCCAGATCTTGTCTAATCAGTTTGAGGGTATCTTTTTCATCTCAAAGCCTGTGCAGAATAGGCTTCTCTCTCTTAAGTTTTAGGACAAAACTTTGATGCGAATGCTGTTTGTGCGGTTGTCAAATCAGAATTGGAGTTTCATTAATTGTCATCGCATGCTAGTGAGGTGTAACTCTCATTACAGAACACCTCCAATGGTCAGTACCTAAGTTTTTATCAGTTTTACACCCTAGAATAGATGTATGTTGTGATGAGAATTGGGAGAAACTAGACAGAGATCTTGATATTTGTGGTGTATATTTGTTGAATTTTAAAGACAAATATAAATTAGTGAGTAGATAGAGTTCTACTTGTTGCAAAATACCCGAATTTGCATAACTTTCTGGTACTGTCATTATTAATGTTATTCATTATGAATCAGAAACAACCATTCCATAATATCCTAGGCTACTAGCATTTGGCACTCACCTAAATAGTTTGTGTTAGCCATTCATTTTGAATTCTCATTAACTTCGTTACTGAGTTTACACCCTCTAGAAGTACAAGATCGTCCAATTTCTTTTTAATTAAGAGATCTTGAAAAAGGAGAACATGGACAAAACACTCACCTTTTTTATACTTAATGTTTATGCTTATTTTGATATACATACTACAAATTATGAGCCAGTTTGAACAAATATTTCCACATACTCGTGTCTGAGAAGAAATAAAATATACTAAACTTCTTGCTCAAGATAGAATTAACTCACTCAAGAACTATTTTCAAAAGTTCCATCATATAACTTCTTCAATGCACTTGTGGTTCACATAGTGTTTGAACCTCAGGTGATACACATGCTAGAATATGTTGTTGATGATACAATTGAAGGAGAAGTTGCACCTTTGTTGCATGAGAGTGGTCAGTGTGTACTTATAGGCGATGGTGAATGTGAAGGTCAAAGTGACCCACAATCTGAGGTGTGTCACTATGAAGATGTTGTTGTCACAAGAGAGAGGTCAATGTGATGTTGATATTGAAGGTTAGATTGAAATGCAGACTGAGGTGACTCACTGTGAAAATGATGTTGCTATGTCACAAGAGAGGGGTCAATGTGATGTTGATGTTGAAGGTCAGACTGAAACACAGGCTGAGGTAGCTCACTGTGAAGTAGATGTTATTGTGTCATAAGAGAGGGGTGAATGTGATGATCATGTTAAGGGTTAAATTGAAACAAAGGTTGAGGTGCTTGACTGTGAAAGAGATGGTGATGTAACATAAGAGAGGTGATTATCATGGTGATGTTGAAGGTTAGAATGACATAAACCAAGAGGTGCATGACTATGAACCTACATCAGTTGAAGTACGTGTATCGAGGGGCTAGTTGATATAAATGTTGGGTGTGATATAGAATGTGAGTTAGGAGATGGAGATTGCTTTAGTAATATGGAAGTTGAAGTGGAAAGTCTTTCACATGAATATGAAAGACCATCATGGATTGAGATGTTTGACAACAATTTCGATGATGATATAAGTTGTGGAAATGAGAGAGGTTTGTCGGATGATGACTGATACTCTGAAGAATTACTTAGTGTAGCACATAATGATGAAGAACATAATGAGGAAGAGGGTTATAGGAAGTTCATGACTTTTTCTATGTCGGAAAGTATAGTTGATTTTAAATGGAAATTGGAGACGTATTTTGGTGAAAAACAAGACTTTTTGGATGCCACCAAAACCTATTCATTGGAAAATGATAGAAATCTAAATTCTCTCTCTTCTCCTTGTCCTAGCTGTGGGGGAAGGTGCCTGCAGAGGACACTCCCACACTTAAGTCAATGATTTACTCAAATAAATCTTATAATAAGAAGGTCTAATCCTTTTGGACATCCCTATTTGTATAGGTTGTCTCAAATAGGTCCTCGTATTCTAAATGGTCTCAATTAGGTCCCTTAACGAGTAAAATTGAATCAATTTGGATCTCTCCTTTAATTACGTTGAATGGCGTTAAAAATTGTTGTTGGTGGCTTGTGATCAAGCAAATTTTATTCATGTGCCACCATTTCAGCGCCTGAGCTGGATTTTATTTATTTAAAGTTTTAAAAAACATTATTTTAATCAAAACAACGTTTAGTTAAGGAAAACTGATTAAAAGTTAGGATTAGTGGTTTGATTGTTGAGTGCGTGCCAGTTGGGGAAATTTGGAAAACCACAACAACCAAGCCTCGAAAAAACCACAACATCGTCATCCTCCATCGTCGCCACTGCCTTACACCACCACCACGCACATGTCGCAACAAGGCCGCCACCACCGTTGTCGTGCTGCAAAGCCCTTTTCAGGCTGCTGCTGCTGTAAGAATTGCACCACTCAACGCAAGAACCTACAACCACTGCACATGAAACCACAACAACCAAGCCTCGAAAAAACCACAACATCGTCATCCTCCATCGTCGCCACTGCCTTACACCACCACCACGCACATGTCGCAACAAGGCCGCCACCACCGTTGTCGTGCTGCAAAGCCCTTTTCAGGCTGCTGCTGCTGCTGTAAGAATTGCACCACTCAACGCAAGAACCTACAACCACTGCACATGAAACCTGTTCAACCAAGCCTCGAAAAAACCACAACATCGTCATCCTCCATCGTCGCCACTGCCTTACACCACCACCACGCACATGTCGCAACAAGGCCGCCACCACCGTTGTCGTGCTGCAAAGCCCTTTTCAGGCTGCTGCTGCTGTAAGAATTGCACCACTCAACGCGAGAACCTACAACCACTGCACATGAAACCTGTTCGAAACCCAAATGAAGCAAATCGCGTCTCCGCCATTCTCTAATCACCTTTACCCGCCACCTACATCACCACCATGAATCTTCATCTTCTCCAACAGAACCACCATGATTCCACCCCTGAAACCCACAGAAAAATCCCAAACTAAAAGAACCCTAAAAACCTAAATCACCACCATGACAACCTCTACATTCTCGCTCCTCGCCGCCACCAGCACTAACGCGAACCCAGCCAACCATTTGAACCTTCATCTCGCCACCACAGAGCATCAGCAACGCCGCGGAGGAGAAGAGGCGAAACCCTATCGCAAAGAGAGGCAAGGGTTCGAACCCTAGCGCGACCTTCCTTGCCGCCGTCGCGCAACCTGCCTCCATCAACCTTCGTCTTCGTGCTTCTCAACCATCAACAACCCGAACTTGCAAGAAGAAACCCTCAATTTCCAACCACAACAACCAAGCCAAAAAACTATTTTTTTTCGAATTTCCCTAATCTACGTACTCAACAATCAAACTACTAATCCCTAACTTTTAATCAGTTTTCCCTAAGTAAAATGTTGTGTTTTTATTAAAATAAAGATTTTTAAAATTA